TCTCAATTTCCAGCTTATTATCGAGCATCACCATTGTTGCTATTTATATTATTATTAATTACTGTTATCATTGTTGTCAATTTTATCATTATCATCGCCTCACCTAGAGCTCTTTGCTGACTTGGTTGCCAAACTTGCGCTGCAGCCGGATTCATCTGTCCAAAATGTGTCTGTTGGACGGCAGAAGCAGTCCCAAACTGGGACATATTCTGGCCACGATTGGTAAAATCAAATGGCTGGATAGGCTGACTTTGCATGCTGCCACCCAATCCATGCAACAGGCCACCACCGGCACCCAAACTATCATCTTTATGCTCCAGTGCTGGTGTAATTGCATGCTGCGGATCGGCCGCTACTTTTTCTAGGACACGCTGCAGCGCATCCATGAGCACATCGTCCTGCTCCGCAGCTATCGTGATGATTCGCTCCTGGCTTACTTTAGCTTCCGGACTACCAGCTTTCGGGTAAACTTGAATATTGGCCCCGGTCTGCTCACGAATTTCTTTGATCCTTGCGCCACTTTTACCAATTACCATGCCCGCCGAGGTATTCGGTACCACGAGTTTCATCTGAATTTGATGAAAGACTTTTTAGCTCCGAAAAGTTCACATCATTAAAGCACAACTAGCGCGTGCGGCCATGCTCTGAAGAGGAAAATCAGCTACGAAAAACGCTCCCAGCAAGCTACGCCTCGCATTTTATCCTTAAAAATCTTTTATAGAGCAAGATTTTGGCACCAAGTCAACCAACTACTGCCAAGCCTGTTGATGAAAATCTGAGATTAATAATGCAAACACGCTTTACTGAGGGCCTACTGCACACACACAAACACACAGGCAGAAAAAGTTTTAAGGTGAAATCGATTTCATACTAAAGAAAAACCTTTGAATTTTCCGGTGCTTAGCAAACTTCTGCTCTTACAACTCCCCTTATCCGGTAGAAATATGCTAGTTATTACAAATGCTAAATTAGAAACAGATTTTGAGACTAAAAAAAAGATCCGGAATTCGTCTTCAGATAAGCATGATCGAAAAGGACGTGAGAAACTAGACTTTGACATCGCGAAAGATAAATTTCTGGAACAATCTGTAAACCAAAGCGATTAGACTATAATGCAAATAGAGTTTGAAAATGCAGTCGAAAAAACTTTTGAGACATGGATGATCATTTACTGGATACAAACTGAGGGTGAGGTAACAAAATTTGTATGATTTTCTTTTTTTTGTTATTTTCAAAGAGAAAATGAATGAACTGATTTCATGTGAGAAATAAGAGGAAAATAAATTTGCATAACGGGAGGAAGTGAATGAAAAAGCTGGAGTTTCCAATTTTGACAACAGCTTAAACGACCGATGACACTTGGTTTTTTTTTTTTTTTTTTCTCTTTTTTCCGCCTTCCACTACATATATTTTCTAAGATTTGCAAAAGCAGAAATCGGCAAGTTTTTCTTCAGGCATTTTCTTTTTTTTTGTTTAAATTTCCCACTAATTTTTATCCAATTTTGGGGATAAATAAAGACCATGAGTACCAATGGATGCAAGCGGGTATTTCGCTCACCTCATTCTTTCGTTCAATGCCTTTATGATCATACATATCTGTCGGTATGCTGCTGTCCACTTTCTCTCGAATTTTCTCCAGAATTGCATCAGCTACTTTTAAGACAGACGCAATTCTACCTTTAACCAAACAAATCCGTTCATTTGTTCCTGAAAAAAAAAAGTAGGATT